GGATCTGTGGGAGCTGCTGGGGAGCCGGGGGACACGTCTGTGCCACCTTGTGGTCCCCACCCCAGCAGCTCTGCCGTGGCACAGGGGGTTGCCCAGGCCATGCTGCAGCCCCTGTGCAGGGTGTTTCCTCAGCTCAGGGAGGCTGGGGACAGTCACCAGGACACTCACCCCACCCGGGGGACAGCGGGTCTGCCCGGGGCTGAGCTGGAGCCTGAAGGCACATCCGGCAGGGGTTGGGGCTGCTGTAGCTTTGGTGCGAGGGGAAGTGGGGGGACTCTGCAGCACCCTCCAAGGCAGGCAGCTCCCCTTGCTGCCTGGGGAGCCCAGAGACAAACCAGCCCCAGGGATGGTCACAAGTGGAGGTACCTCCTCCCAACATGGCTCTCTCTGCCAATGTCCCCAGCTGGCCAGCATGGCCCAAAACCAGCCACCACCACACACCACAGCCAAGGCATTGCTCCCAAGACATATCCTGCCTGTTCAACCTCCATTTCATGTGAAGGCATCTCAGTCCCCCATGTCCTCATCTGCAGTGCCACACTGTGTAAGACTGCTTTGGTTGGCAGCCTCCAAGTGTGGAGCTGAGATGCAGACCAGAGAATCACAGAATGGTTTGGGTTGGGTCCTTAAAAATCATCTAGTTCCAACCCCCCTGTCATAGGCAGGGGCACCTCCCACTAGACCAGGTTTCTCCAAGCCCCATCCAACCTGGCCCTGAACACTTCCAGGCATGGGGTTTCCACAGTTTCTCTGGGCAGCCTGGGCCAGTGTCTCACCACCCTCAGAGGAAATATTTCTTGCTAATATCTCATCTGAGTCTCCCCTCTTTCAGCTGGACTCCATGACCTGCCCATGGCCAAACAGGAACCATAGCAGGGCAGGGATCAACTCCAAGAGTCCCACCTTCTCCAAGCAGCAGAGCACCCTTCTGCAGCACAGAGCAAAGCTCTGAGAAACCTTGGTGCTGATCCTGACCCCACCACCCCCCGTGCACAAGTGGGCACGTAGCAGCAGGTGGTGGCAGGGCTGTGGGAGCACACACCGTGGGAAGACCAGCTCTTCCCAGTGGACAATGGACAGATTGAAACCAAAAGTCCTTCCCTCCCACCCCCGTTTAGCACTACGAAGTGCTGCAGCCAAATGAGGTGACATCAGTGATCTCCTCCTGGGAAATGGGGAGATCAACCTGAACTTGGCAGCGGGAGAAGCCGAGCGGTTCCTGCGCACAATACATGGCAGCTGGCCAGTGTGCAGGGCAAGAACAATGACCCATGTGGCTTGTGAAGGGCATTGTTTTAGGGGAACCATATCCTAGGGAGGCTCCCAAGCCCATAACTGTGCCTCGTGCTGTAACATGCTGCTGGCAGAGCCAGGTTGTGCCAGCCCAGAGTACACACGTGGCATGACTGCAGGTACAGCAGAGCTAGGGATGGACTGGGGAGTACCCAGGGTCTCTGAGCATGAAGTTGGCAGAGTCCAAGTGTCTTACTGTGCTCACATCAGGGAATAATAAAGGTTTATCCTGGCTAGGAATATGAAGTGGTCCCTCCCAGGTACCAGGAAATCTCTGCCATTGTGGAATCCCAGACTGGTTTGGGCTGGAAGGGAGCTTAAAGATTATCTAGTGCCAACCCCACTGCCATGGGCAGGGACACCTCCCACTAGACCAGGTTGCTCCAAGCCCCATCCAACCTGGCCCTGAACACTTCCAGGGATGGGGCAGCCACAGCTTCTCTGGGCAACCTGTGCCAGTGTCTCACCAGCCTCACAGGAAAGAATGTCTTCCTAACATCCAATCTAAATCTCTCCTTTCAGTTTGAAATTGTTCTGTCATCCCTTGGCACCTGGTTACAGGTAAATGGTGGATTGTTACAGCAGAGGGAGAGGCCATGGGGAGCTTGCAGGGACCAGAGGGGCCCAAAGGTGAGACCTGGGCCAGAAGAGGTACCACTGCTTATTCTCCATCCTGGTGCAGCAGCTCCTTGTCCCCTGAGCAGGGTGAAATGGGTTCCCCTGGGCAGAACCTCTTCCAGGGAAAGGCTCCTCAACAAGAGCAGGTGAGGCTGGGGATGTCCTTCATTCCCTAGCCAAAAGCCATTCCCAGCTGCCCCCAGGACCAAAGGGTTACTCAGCTGACTGGTCTCTCTGTCTTCACTTTCAACACCAGGTTTGTAACTGCACGAACCAGTGCCCCTAAACACCTAATTAGCCCCTGCTCTCAAAGCCACCTCTCACTGTAATCCCAGCTGGAATGGGGATGAGCTTGGAGGAAGAAGCAGCTCCAAGAGCCCAGCAGCCATGGTTTACAATAAATCTTCATCCTTTCTGTAAACAGCCCCTGCGAGGGTGTCACA